CCACCCTTGTAGATTCGACCAGTCGGGTTGCAGACACTCTCTGACACTGTAAACTTGTAGCCAATGAGCAGACGAACACGTGGATGTGTCGGAAGGCAGGATTGTGTGTATGTGGCGGTATCGGATCGGCCAGTTACCACTGTGAAGTAAATCATCCGATACCGTAATTTCGTCCAGTATAGACCCGATACCGATACCCAGTATCGGATCGACACATCTCTACTATATTCTATTGGCTCTAATGATTCAAAGGCGGGGTCAATCACTGAAATCGACCAATCCATGATGGAGATACAGCCGTGCGTCATCGCAGCAGCTAAGCAGGAGGCCGGTCGCCATTACGCACAGGACTGCATAATACAGACAGCGATCTGGTTGAATGTTCAAAAAACTAAGAAACTTTATTTGCATGTATTGAACACCATTAATGATATACAAGTGGAATATACAGTTTGTATATAAGAACATTCAGATGGTCACAAGTGTGCCAAAATGTGCCAAAGTGCGCAAAAATGTCACCTCGCCTAAACAGTCTGGACAAAAACTTTGTAATTTTGTTCTGCTTCCCTTTATCAGAGTCAAACTTTGCAGAGAGAATGTTCACACATTGTGCTATGATTTTGGAGAGGTTTAGAGCTGCAGCTGGATCATTCAAACGAGATAATTATCCTGAAACTGCTTTTTTTTTTTTTTTTTTTAGGCGAACCTGAAAATTTTTAATTTGTGTGTGTGCCATCTTCATTTACTTTTAACCAGTAAAATATGTAGTGATATTTACACATCTGAGCAAATCTCACAAGTGTTCCTTTTATTATGACACAAGAATTATTCAAATAGACTTTGTGGTTGCAGAGATAAACTGTTTTTAATATAGTTATGTAATTTTCGAGCAGAGGCCTGAAAAATAGCTCAGGGCTTAAAGGGATATGTAATAGAAAACTTCTAATATGAGGGTGTAGAAAAACATGAAGAATCATTAATAATATCTTTTTAACCTAGTCGTTTTTAGTGCCATTTACTACAGTTTATGTGATGTCCTTTTTATTTCTACTTTCTTGCTTTTTAATGTTATTTGTATTTGCCTTGCTTATGTTTGCATTTTTTTGTTTTTATTTTCTGTTATTTTTATTGTTCTGGCACTTTGAGCTGCGTGTGTTGCATGAAAGATGATACACAAATAAAGTACTATTATTATATTGTAAATAAAATCACAATTTTGTAATGTGTGTGTTTCATGTTGCAGCCAAACAATGCAGTATGTAACTCTCACCTATATGAAGCACCTCGGGGTGAAAGTGAAGGAACCTCGTGGCCTCGAACACAAACGTGCGCGCATCAATTTCCTGCCCAAGATTAAGGTTGAAACCCCATTTTTAAATCACTTTCATGGACACACACAGACATTACCCACAACCCTACATGATAAAGTAATCCCAATACAATTCTGTTGTAAGTAACCAATCTTTTGAATTATCACGCATTCATTCAGTGGTCTGACAATGTGTAAATTGTCTTTCAATTAAAATAGTTCCAGGCAAAATATGTGTTTTATTTTTTCACTAACAGAAAAGTGTCAAGCCTGAGAAGGAGGGTGAGGAGAAGGCGAAAAAGCCTCGATTTCCCAACATCCTGGGCCCGCCTCGGCGTCTGAGCAGAGTGGACTCCACTTCAGGTGAGCAGAAACTTAACAGCTTAAAACTCTAAACCCCAAACCCAGCCGACAGGTTTAAAGGGCCTTTTGTTACAGCATTTAGAGCCAGAAACAGTAAGAACAGAAAGAATGATCAAACTTTTATCTTTCCAACAGTCCTTAAACCTGTTCTGTCAAGAGAATTAAACAAATCTAAGCCTAAAATCATGTTATTTAATGAAAAAGACATTACTCTCCATGTCTGATTTTAAAATTCGCCTAAAACAAACAGTCTGCACCAGATTCTGTAAAAAGAAAAAACTCATTCTACACTCTTTGGTATAACAATGACACCAAGCAGCAGTCATGACAAAAATCCACTGACTTTTCAACTGAACTGCAGGTTTGTTTACACAGTGCAGACAGGAGACAAGTAAGGAAACAAGTATTAGAAATGTAAATAATAAAATAGTATGTAGAGTCAACATTATTTATCTAGTACTGGGAGCACCAGAGGGCATTTCTTACACGCAGTAATTCAACATTTTTTTTTTTACATTTTTGTAAAATGATCAACAAGTTTGAACTTTTTGTAATTTATGGAGGCATAATTTAGGTAGACTGCACAGAAGACATTTCTGAGTTCTTTTTACTTCTAGTCATGGTTGGGCTGTTTCCATAGAGGTCCAGAAGCTGAGGCTTGGTTTGTTGCAACTGCAATAACAAAGAAATACATTTAATAAAATCTGAACCTTCAGAAACACAAATATGGACTGAAAACTGTAACTCTAAGCATGTTTGTGTATTTCCTTGTGTACGTTTGTGCTAATGCAGTCGGGAAAGCCATGGAGCTGAACAAGCAGCGTTCACCAAAGCTCACTCAGCCGGCCTTCGGCATCCCCGAAGTGTCTGACTCTTCTGCCTCGAGTTCTGGACGGATCCGAGCAAACCAACTCAGCGAGGGATCAGACACCAGCACCCAGTCTCTGCCTTCCACCACCTCCCCCACTCACAGCTCCCCCGGCGGTCTGATGTCTGACACCAGCGGGCAAGAATCAGACTCCAGTAAGACCTTCTGAATTCTGTATTTTTATATTTCTCTTGACAAGATAGATGCAAAATAATCCTAAAAGACGCAGCACAAACACATAAAAAATAAGAAACAGTGGGTTAACTATTGGGACTATTGTAATGTGTTCAGTCAGTATGTATGCTTCTTCTTCTCAGATTGTTTCATCTGAATAACTTTGAGAATGGGAGTAAAGATTTCATGGCTCCTCTCAAACCTGCTTTTGGTGGTTGTTCTGCTCTTGGTTATTACAGCACTGGAAAAAGGCAGTATTACGACCTGATAAAAGAGAATTGCAATAGTTTTTAATTTTTTTTAAATAAAATATTTCTAATTTCATTTTTGCCCCTCAAAATATTACAACTTTATCCCTAAAACCTCAGTGGCTCCTATCTACTGTTATACAGGAGACAAACTGCTGAGTAAAAGAGATGCACTCAGAGTGGCACTATTAGTATCATAGATGTCCCAAAGGATGAATCAGTTAGTTTCAGTACAATGCACTAAGATTACTACAAATGTACTCTTATCAGAGATAAAATATTGTTGTCAAACCTGTGTTCCCGTCTTTCTTTCGTCATTACTGTTTCCTGTTCTGTCCTTTACCCTCCAGATGTCTCTCCGTTCTGCATCCAGCCCAGACTGACCGACGGCCTGCAGTCAGGCAATCACCAGGACGGCGCCTTCACTCCGACCAGCACACAGTTTGACTTTAGTCCCTCCAATCTGGAGCAGCGAGAAGAAGATCAGGAGGCCTTCAGGTATTTGCAGAGCTTGGATTTTCTCCCTACAGTCCAGGATGGAAAGTAATTAATGACACTGTAAAGTACTGCAGACAGAAGCCCACAGTTCTGCTTTAAAAACGTTCACGCTTTTACATCACATTTGGGTCTCTGTTATACTGAAGACCTTTAATCATATCACAGAATATATGTGAACCCCAAAAGCCACTGACAGGGTTTGAAAAGCATGTTACTATTAAGAAAAAAAAGCCAAAACAAACAGCATTTATCAGAACTCTTCCACTTGAGGCAAGGACTCTCCGCCAACCAGGAGAGGGCAAGCCACCCTTTTCCGGTGAAGAACCATGGCGTCAGATTTGGAGGTGCTGATCCTCATCCCACACGCCTCACACTCAGCTGCAAACTGCCCCAGTGCACGCTGAAGGTCCTGATTTGATGAAGCCAACAGAACAACATCATCTGCAAACAGCAGGATGAAATTCTGTGGTTCCCAAACCAAACCCCTTCCTCCCCCCGGCTGCGCCGAGAAATTCTGTCCATAAAAATAATGAACAGAACCGGTGACAAAAGGCAGCCCTGGCGGAGGCCAATGCGCATTGGGAACAGGTCTGACTTCCTACCAGCAATGCGAACCATGCTCCTGCTGTGGTCGTAAAGGGAACAGACAGCCCTTAACAGAGGGCCCCGGACCCCATACTCCCGAAGCACCCCCCACAGGATGCCACGAGGAACACAGTCGAATGCCTTGTCCAGATCCACAAAACACGTGTGGACTGGTTGGACGAATTCCCATGAACCCTTGAGCACCCGATGGAGGGTGTAGAGCTGGTCCAGTGTGCTGCAACCGGGACAAAAACCAGGCTGCTCCTCCTGAATCCGAGGTTCGACTATTGGTCATATCCTCCTCTCCAGTACCCTGGAATAGACCTTTCCAGGGAGGCTGAGGAGTGTGATCCCTCTGTAGTTGGAACACACCCTCCAGTCCGCCTTCTTAAACACAGGGACCACCACCCTGGTCTACCAGTCTGGAGGCACTGTCCCTGACCACCACGCGATGTTGCAGAGACGTGTAAACCAGGACAGTCCCACAACGTCCAGAGACTTAAGGTATTCAGGACGGATGTCATCCACCCATGGAGCTTTGCCACCAAGGAGCTTTCTAACCACCTCGGTGACTTCAGCCAAGGTGACAAGTCCGCCTCTGAAACCACAGTCTCTGCTTCCTCTTTGGAAGATGTGACGGTGGGATTGAGGAGACCCTCGAAGTATTTCTTCCACTGCCCAATGACCTCCTCAGTCGAGGTCAGGAGGTCCCCACCCGCACCAGACAGTGCTGGTGGGGAGCTGCTTTCCACTCCTGAGGGGCCGGACGGTATGGCCGGATTTTCTTCGAGGCTGACCGATAGTCCTCCTCCATGGCCTCCCCGAACTCCTCCCAGACCCGAGTTTTTGCCTCTGCCACCGCATAAGTTGCAGTGCTGTCTTTTTCTTTCTGTATTGCAGTGACATCGTCTGTCAACAAATTAGAGTACAAACAGTAAAAGCCTAAATGTGAATCTTGTCCAGTCTCTTGCAATCAATCTCCCAGATACACTAAGGTGTAACTCAGAATTTACAATAATTGTCATCAACACTTTAGCCATAGTTTACATCAGAACATCCCTCCAGAGTATACTGTTATACTGACATGACTAAACAATTTGACTGGCTTATCCATACACATTGACACAAGGACTTTTCATTCTGATGGCACTGCCATGTTCATTGACACAGATATTTAGTCTTGAGAGATGAACTAAGGATTTTGAGCAAGTAACTGCCTTTTGCAGGTAAAGTGTTTAGGTATTCGTACAAATTGTTTTGAGACATGCACTTGCTGTTTTGCACATGTTGAGGATGATTGAAGGAATGTACCAAAGTGACTGAGAAAAACTGTAATCACCCAATTAAATAATCATTTCATCTTTACATTATTGCTCCAGGACAAATCATCCATCACAGCAACAAAGAATGTGGGATTAATTCTGTCAAAATAACAATGAAACATATGTTGATCATAAGACTTTTTACTGCTTCATGCAGTAAATACAGAATAAAATGACAGGAAGGATTGTACCTGCTTAACTATTCTCCCATGTGGCCCTTTCTTCTGCCGCAGTAATCTTTTTAACAGCGTCTCTGTGTGTTCGGCCGGGAGCAGGATGGAGGTACAGTGTGCGGTGAGTTCACCCGACATCCAGAGCGAAGACGACCAGGGTGGAGAGGTGGAGTGTGAGGAAGACCCTCTGAACTGGCAGCGGCTGGTCAGTCAAGACGTCCTGGCCAAACTGATGCCGCAAGAGATCAAACGGCAGGAAGTCATCAACGGTGAGTCAGCAGCATTTCACACTGAAAATTATTAAATAGACATCGAGTTTGTCTCCTGACATGAGTTCATCGTCCACCCCACAGAGCTGTTCTACACTGAGCGCGCTCACCTGCGCAGGCTGAAGGTGATCGACTGTGTTTTCTACCAGCGACTGAACAGAGACGGCATCCTTCCGCCAGAAGACATCAAGCACATGTTCATCAACCTGGAGGAGATCATTCAGCTGCATGGTAACAACATTCACACACTGTCAAAGGTCACAAAGCATCGAACACAAATCACAGAACCTTGTAGAACAAAAAGAAAAACAAAAAACTATTTGACTTGATACTGATACGGTCCTTTGAATATTTTCCCCCATTTGTTTATTGAAATTGCCAGTAAATCTCATAACTATGTAGATTGAGATCAACGATATCTGTAATTGTGACCGACGTGTCAAAGCTCATTTGACAAATTCATAAATAGTTGGATAGCTCTTAACCCTCGCAGCTGCGAGTTGCATGTATTTGCTCCTGTCACATTTTTTACTAATTTTTGTCTAAGATAAATGGACTGTCTAAACTAGACTTTTAAAACAGATTTCTGTGGCAACATTCCCACGATAGCAATGCAGTTGCCAGAGCTATAGAGACGAGCAACTGAAGAGACAGAAAAGGCAACTACGAGGAAAAACTGAGGAAGCATCCAAGAAAAGTTAAGAAAGTGGTCGATGGACTAATAAAAAAAAAACAACCTTGAGTGACTGATCCATCACTGAAGTTGCAGCTTTACGTATTTTTGCACATAAATAAATAAATATTATATATATATATATACTGTATATAGTTGTAGCGGACACCGCTTGTCTTTCTCTGGAATGCCAAGCAAGGGGACACACCTTGGACACTATGCAGAACGGGGAAACCCACTCATTCTTAGAAGGAACTATCATTAAGATGATCTCATGGGTTGGTTTAAACAGTTGTTTTTCTAAGTGTTTTATTATTGTGCTATAAACATCTATGTGCATTTCTTCTCGCTCTACTCCACAGTTTCTGTCACAGAACAAATGACCGTGATCAGGAAGAGGAGCGAGACATCAGTGATTGGTGAGATCGGAGATGATCTCTTGGCCTGGGTAAGACTTCATCTTTTATTGTGTTATATCTTTAATTTTCATTTATTTCATTGGGTCTTTACTCTGATCAGTCATTGTGTTATGGGTTTGCTATTTATAACTGTGCAGACTCGACTTGACAGTTAAAGTACTGGAGTGGAAAATCACTCTGTATTTATACTCAATAAGTTCAAACTTGAGGTACTTGTACCTGACTTGAGTTTTTCCGTGATTTCAGTTCAGCGGGGAGGAAGAGGACAAGATCATAAGAGCTGTGGGAACTTTCTGCAGCAACCAGCCGTCTGCTCTTGAGCTTATCAAGACCAGGAAGAAGAAGGACCAAAGGTTCAATCTGTTCATGCAGGTGAGAACAGCACTGAAGAGACACATGAGGAGAACAATCTGTGGAGCTTGTGTTGCAAGACAAAACAAAACACGGATATCTATATGAAAGCGTGTTATTAAAGTTGTTCGTTATGAGTGGACAAGCAAGTATAAAGGCAAACTGTCTAATGAAAGACAAAAATTGCTTTAAAAGTTGTGTGTGTCTGCAATGAAAACAGTTTAGCGGACAACGTGAAAATCTTACGGGAGTAGGGATTTTAGCTTTTCTGTGGATGAGAGCAGGTGGTTAAAAAATCTAATAAATAAGCAAGTCCCAGGATTTACAGCGACAGAGATGGAGTCAACAAATGAAGCTGAAAAGACACTTAAAGTAGGTTTTAACAATACTGCAAAACACTTTTACAATATTGTGACTGACAATGATAGAAAAGAGTTGGATGCTGTTGTAACAAATGTGCAAAATAGTTTTGTACAACAGGCACGAATCTGCCAACCCCAGATTGATGCTGCTCTGCTCTTCTTGGTCAAAGTAAACTCTCTTCCAAAGATAATGCACCTCTTCTTGCACGTATTACAAAACTTACTATTGAAAAAATAGCCATGCATGAACAAATGAAAGAAAATGTGAAATGTGTACCCACTGCCCTAGAATTAGTTATATCATGAGTGGAACTGTAATTTTGCTCAGGTGTTCCCAACAGGTTGCATCTCTTTATTAATGCTACACATTAAAAGACTCAAGTAGGACACAAAATGTCTACATTGTATGAGTGTGAATTGTCAGAATATTTGTGGAAACATGTTAAGAAGTCCAGAGATTAATGGTACAGTACAGGACTCTGAGACAGTGATGCGTGTAAAAATAATTATTTTTTTCAAACTCTGTTTACGAGATCAAGAAGCAGGTTTTATGCATAAATGCAGAAAAATATAAGTTAGTTGTAAAGCACAGAGGACACATATGAAGTAACTGACATCATCTACCCATTAGTTACAACTAAAGAACGATGCAGGGGCCTGCAGTCTATCTCAGCTGACACTGAAGAACTTCTACGTTCTCACTAAGAGTTTATGTGCTCCAGTTTCACCAGTAAATCCTCTGACTGTATGCCTCTTCATCATGAAACTATAAATTTCCTGCTGCAAGAAGACACTGAAGCTGTTATCACACATTAATGACTGGAGAAGAAGCTCTTTTACGCATTTTTCAGATAACAGGAGATTGTCTGTGTCAGACTTGGTGTCGGTACTGAAGATGCTGTGCTTGTTGTCTGGTTGGAGCATGTCAGAGGCAGAATATGATGCTCATCATCATGCATATTTACTGGTTGTAAATTTTCTGGACAATGACCTGCTCTGTTCACATAGGGGCTCGATCAGACAGTACGCGGACTTTGTATTAAAGAGCTGGCAGGATAAAGCCCATTTAATATCCATTTCGACTGTTTGGGACATTTCTGTTCTCACATAGAGCCAGTAATGTCTAGAAAAGTTCAGGAATGCATGCGGAAGTGTGTGAAAAACACCTTAAGACTCAGCAGGTTAAGATGAAGAAAGAACTTTATCAATCCAGAAAGAAGTTTTTGCCCTGATGTATTGCTCAGAAAAACAAAATGACACAATAACATGAGAATAGATTCAGTGCCTAAAAGAAAATAAAAAAGATACAAGTACGACACATTTAGATTAGATAGAACTTTATTGACCCTTTTGGTGGGGTACCTCTGGGAATTTGTTGTTCTAGAAACAGCACAACACCGACAGAGACAGTAGCACACATCAATTAAGGAAAAAACTGTAAATGAGGAAACAAAGAAAACATTTATGAAAATCACAAATAAGTTAGCTAAAATAAGACTAAAACAAAAAAATAAGACATAATACTGGCAATGATTCTGTGTTAGCAAAGTAATATCACGTATGAAATTAAAGTAATGCACCAGAAAAAATAAAATACTGCACATTAGATTGACATATCCTAAATGAAAATGAAATATTACACATGGTGCTGAAACTGATATTGCACAAACTATTGAGAAAAGTAGTATTACACATGATATTGATTATATTGTCAATTCATTATTCATTTTAAAAGCTAAAATCCATCAAAGTCCATTGTCTCAAACCGAAATGACACTTTTATTGGAGTATGCAGTTTTCATATTTGTTTTTTTTGACAGGGTTTCATTTTCTTTTTGAATTTGCATCTGCTTTAAAAAATGCTTTAAATATGATTTTTAAGAATAGTTTCTCATTTTGTCTATTTATTATTATTTATTTAGAATTTATTTTTTATTTTCCTAAAAGTGAAGATGGAGATGGCATGCGCAAAACAATGTGATTAGTTTATTGTCTCGTATGCGTGCTATCTGTTGCAGGTTTTTGCCTATCAACCCTTTTTATTCTTTTTTTTTTCTTGTCTTTCTCATTTTTCCTATTTAGGAAGCTGAGAGCAACCGTTTGTGTCGCAGGCTGCAGCTTAAAGACATAATTCCTGCAGAAATACAGAGAATGACCAAATACCCGCTTCTGCTGGACAGCATTGCTAAATATACAGGTATAAATACGAATGCATGTGTTTTTGCGGCCGATATTTATAACAGTGGGCAATTCATTGATGAAAAGTACTGATTTTTGGTTTTTCATCCATTAAATCTTCCCACAGAGGATGCTGAAGAAAGTGAAAAGGTGAAGAAAGCTGCAGAGTGTTGTAAAAAGATCCTGAACCACGTCAACCAGGCAGTCAAAGAGGCTGAAAACAAACAGGTGCAGATAGAAAGATAAAGATACATCTGAGAGTTCTAGTTCAAAGCAACCCGTGAAAAACAGTGCTTTTCTATGCAGATTAAAGATGTTTAATGAGTTGTGTTCTGTCTCAACAGAGGCTTGAGGAGTATCAGCGAAGGTTGGACCTCTCATCTCTCAAACAGAGTGAAAACCCTCTGATCCTGGAGCTGAAGGTGAGACACGAGTGGTTTCACTCCTGGTGCTCTGAATATAAAAGAGAATGAGGTTAACATCTGATACTTCCCTCCTGTATCCAATTAAATATCATAATATCTCTCATTACACACAGCGGCTCCGGTCTTTAACTGTGATTTAATGTGCAAATGAATGACACTGTGTTGTCGGCTGTATTTACGGTGAAAGTTGATTATCTTCCTGCAGAATTTAGACCTGACCAAGAGGAAGATGGTTCACGAGGGACCTCTCTCCTGGAAGGTCAACAAGGACAAGACAATTGGTACTAACACTCATGGAAATAACATTGAAAAATACAGTGTAAACTCCACACTAACATGAAAATAAAGAGGAAGATGTGCAGATTATACAAATGTCAACCACAGCAACAACTGATTTGAGCAGATTATCTGTCTGATCTGTTGCAACTTTATTTTTGACTAAAGTGGATTAAAGCAGGTGTGTTTAAAATAGTAATCTCACATTTACAGTACCACAAGTCAGTTTTGTATCACCATTGTCATCCTTTCAGAGCTGTACACAATCCTCCTGGAGGACATCATGGTTTTGCTGCAGAAGCAGGATGAGCGCCTGCTGCTCAAGTTTCATGGTAAGAACGTTGCCAGCGTCACCGACACCAAGAACATCTTCAGCCCCATCATCAAACTCAACACAGTGCTGGTTCGCCCCGTCGCTACCGGTGAGGGCCACAGTCACTGTCAGACACTTTTGGCAGGTTTTACGTATGGAGTCAACATTTCTGATTTAGTTCATCTGTAGGTTCTTAGAAACATAGAGCTGCAATACGTAATTGTTTGAGGAAAAAAGTCTAAATATTCGGGTTTCTTTACTCCTAACAAATCAACTTGTGGATCTCTTGTGCGTTGTGGACAAAACAAGACATTTTAGGATGTTTAGGAAACACTGACTGACATTTTTCCCCATTTTCTGACATTTTATAGAACAAAAACAACTATTTGATTGAGACAACAATCAACGCTGACAATAATAATTTGTTGCAGCTCTAGTCAAAAATGCTAGCAGCATGACTCTGTGTCAGTGGATCCACCACTTTGGTCCACACTAAATTATCTTAATAACATTTGGGTGTACTTCTAGGAAATTTGCACAGAACTCAGTATGGACATCTAATGCTACACAGTGTGTAATTTTTGGTGAAATGTCTCAGTTATAGGATCATTTGCAGTGAAAAGCTGGTACCAAAGTCCATGTTTCCAACAGTATGAATTCTTTGGTGATATCTTAACTTTTCATTGACCAAAAATCTGGCACTTAATTAGCAAATATGAGTGTGCCATTGTCTAATTTTTTGAGCATTTTAGCATACAAATGTTTTACTTTTATTTCAAATCTTAGAAATGCAATGAAATCAGATGAGGAAGAGCCTGATTTTAAGTCTTATTTTTGATGCAAAGATTTGTACATTGGCAGGAATGTTGTATAACATGAAATTTAAAGTTCTAATTTTATTAAATGTTTAAGTGCAATAAAAGCAGTTTATCCCTAAAGTCAGTGAATAATCATGATAAATTAGTATCATACTTTTGGCCATAAATGTGCAGCACTAACATGTAGCTGACATGTAGTATGAAATAATCCTGGTTTGAATTTTTGTCCTCATCAGACAACAAGTCTTTCTTCGTCCTGTCCATGTCGGATAACGGAGCTCAGATCTACGAGCTGATGGCTCAGACGGTGTCCGATCAGAGAACGTGAGTCCAAAACAACCCAAAACAACATCACACTGCTTCTTCTCATCTGTCCTCGTTTGTCTGATCCAGCTGTGTGGCCTCTGTTCATCCAGGTGGCAGTGTCTGATCACGCAGTGTGCCGATGCCATGAAAGCCAAACCTCACAACAGCGACACGCCTCCAGCTCAGTCTGAGTGAGTCCACCAACGCTGCAGTCACTCACTGATGTTGTTGTTCAGTTTTTTTCTTGTTTACAATGTAAGTGTGTTTCAGGGTTGAGCGAGACACTATTGAGATCATCCACAGTGAGATGCCCAAACCGAGCAAAGAGCCAAACGGGACGTCGGGTCGAAGCATCCACTCTTCAGGTAGAATGACTGTTCCTCAATTCAAAAAAAGATCACCTAATTTATTAAACTGTGTTTTTTTAAGTCTAAGAAATATAATGAAAAATTAGTATATAAATAAGAGGAAAATATTCTTCCCAGATTAACCATCAAGAGCACTGACAAAACTTACTTTCTCCATTTATTTCCTCAGCAGTTTCTTTTTAATTTGAAGATGACACATCTTGTAATATTTTACTTTACATTAAAAGCTACAGTTTAATCCTCTGAACTGCTAAGGCATGTTATCTTAAAAACAATGCCAAATTACAGTATTTATCAGTCAGAAACTGTAAAAATAGATAGAATCACTGGATTTCTTCTCATTTTTAAGGGCCCTTGAACTCTTAACCATTATATTTCATCAAAAGCACTTCGTTCTGCATATCTCATATAAAAAAGTGCCACAAATAATATCCTGTGAAAAAACAAAAAATTCTGCGATCCTAAACATGACCAAAAAGCCATTAGTGACTCAACTAAACTAACCAAAAATTCTCGGACTATTCAGCTGAACTGCAGGCAGTGTTTCCACAGAACAGATGGGAGACAAGTACTGAAAAACGCTGAAATGAAAATAAAAAAATACTTGATCAATAAAATACTTGCAGCAAGGCCTCAAAACCGTTATACAAAGAGGCAAGTTTGCTGTTAGAGAACACATTCAGCATGGTGAATTATCTTTCTAAAGTTGATGCACAGAACAATATTAAATGCTGTACATGTTGATCCTAGTTTTCGGTAAACTATATAATAAAAAAAAGTCTTATTCCTTTTCTTTTGGCTATATATACCATTATGCATTTGTTATGCAGCACAAAAGACATTTCTTAGTTCTCAGGTTAGGTTGTGTTGTTTCCATAGAGTTGCAGGACTTTATATTGTGTGAAAGAAGAGCCTACAGTGAGTAAAAATGTGACAGGGGCAAAGAAAAAAACTAAATATCCGAGAAACTGCTTCGGTTTCAGAGGGTTTAATATGTGTTTGACAGTATTTCTTTTAAGGTAAATTATCACCTTACATGTTCAAATGTCAATGCCACCTCATCTCCAGACATTCAAGCTCCGGCAACGAGCCTCAACCCCTTCGACGGCTTGAAATCAGAAGACGAGGAAGAGGGGCTGGCCACCGCAGGCAGGCAGGAGGTAGATGAGGAGGATGTAGAGGTGGACGAAGCAGAGCTGGAGGCGTTCCTGGACGGGCAGCTGGCAGACAGACTTCTGCAGGAAGGATCCCGTCAGGGCATCGCCATTGAAAACGATGAGCTCAATCCATTCAGCCTTCCCTCCTCCAAAGCCGAAGACGCTCTAAGGACACGTAATTGTCACACGTTTTCTTATTCAACTCTGTTGGCTGATAGTTGTGGACAGTTTTAGAAGTGTGGGAAATTAAAACCTATTTTTCTTATTCTAGTGTCGATGCTGAAGCAGGCTCTGTTTACTCACATGCTGAGCAGAGAAGCCGAGGAGGTGAAGGAAGAGTCAGAGGAGAACAAGCCGAGTGGGAGTCAGCTGAGTGCCTGTTTGCCTGTAGGCCCCGAGGAAAGTTCTGCTGCATGTGACGAGAGCCGCACGTCTGAGGGTTTCCAGAAAGACAACCTACCAGACACAGCTGAACGGAACAGTAATGGTCGGACGCTGCTAAAGTACTAAAAATGAGCTTTTTGTCACCTGAGAGTCTTTATAGAACCTTCTCACCTAATCTTCTTCTGCTTCCAGGTGGTTTCATGGTTCTGGATTTCGGTGTCGGCTCTGAAGAGAGCAGCACTGATGACGATGTCGGAGGCGACGTGGGGATTGACATGAGGAAGCTGCTGTCCTCATCCTCGCAGACCGGAGGCGGCGGACCAGACCTCAGCCGGCAGCTGATGACCCACCTGCGCCTCCTTCAGGCTGACCTGCAGTATCTGAAGGTGCTGCAGCGCCAGAGCTGCCTTCTCACAATAAAACACATTCACAAAACCTCCACATGGTGGGAAATCTTAGCTAGAGGAAATCGGTCTTGTGATCTTAAACTTAATATAGAGCATTGCCTGTTTGGCCTGATGCTTGTAGAAACCCATGAGATCACTGGGAGTCTGTTTTCTGCACCAGATAAACTGCTGCTTGACTGATGCATGACTTACATGTTTGTGCGGTGCTGTTTTTTTTGCTGGTTGGGCAGCAAGGCGAGGGTTAAATGCTAGAAACTGAAATTTTTTATTTATTAGCTCCAGTGATTTTCTCATCCCATTTGACCTTTGGATTCTCCATAGTTTAGAGTTCAGCTGTGCAGCAACATACTGTATTTTTTGATGAACATTAAGCACAAATGAGTTCCCATTAGATTTTTTCAGAGTATTTCAAGTGTAGTGTAATCTCAAAAATGCGGAGCCCTGCAAGGCTCACGGCAAGAATTTCTGGATTTGTTTTACTTTGCAGTATTTTCCCTCACATTATGGTTTACATTCCTTCTGAGCCGTATGAACATTTAAGTGTTTAGTGTGTGAATATCAGACACAACCCACCTGGACTGTGGCAGGATTTTATGTGAGTGCTTCAAGGCACTCTGCAACCCTTCACACCACGGCTATATTTCTGGCCACAACAACATATTTATCACTGCGACGCCCCTAAAATCACTGTATTTGGCTCCTTGGGATTTCTTCCTCTTCCTTAAAATGAAAGTCAAGTTGAAGAGTTGCCATTTTGGCGGGACCTACAGGGAGTGTTATGAGCGTGTTAAACTTTCTTGAAGGAGCAGCCAAATTTAAATTGGATACAGTTTTTAAAATTTTATTGGTGTAGTCTCAGAACTTTTAAATTGCATCTTATCATAAGTAAATTAACCTTTTTTTCTCCTAAACACCATTAATTTAACATTAATAGATAAATTGCTGTTCTCCAGCAATGATTTGCTAATTGTTGTTTAACCGTATGTTAGCCTGACCTGTGCACCACGCTGACTTTTGTTTGCTTCCAGGACGTTGAGGTTAAGTACAATGAACTGCGACAAGTGCACAGTGACGCAGCTACTGACTCCGATGATAACAACGGTGCGTTTCAGCCCTCTGATTTTTCATTCACTTCATATCCACACGAACACACGCTGATGCGTTTCAAACTCTCCATCTGGTGTGTTTCAGATGGGATTCAGTGATGACAGACTTCCTGCTCTCTTGGTTGTACGAGCCAAGTTCCACATTACTGCACAATCACCTTCTCCTGGCTCCATCCTTCACTGTTTAACTCCGGCGTCGCTCAGTAATGGAGGCTTAGTGTCTGATCTCAGGATTGTTCCACTATAAACTCCTTCAACCAGCAGGAGCTGAAAAAAGAACAATCATACAATTACCCATGGACCTTTTTGTTTTGCTATGATAATAATCAACTACATACATTTTCTGAAACACTGGATATATAAAATGGAAAAAGGGCAAGTGTTTGAAGTCACACAGATGTAAGGCAGGGAAGTGTTAAGACATTTGACCAGTACAAGAGGGTGATTGTCTTGTTGAGCACTTGATGTAAAAAAAAAAAAAAAAAAAAATTGTACATCTATGTATGCTTCAAGATAGAACAGAAATAAAAGTGCTGGTTGTCAACCTCCAAAGTTTAATGAATAATCAACAAGAGGCTGTTAGAACCATTTCTACCAACCCTAAGTGTTAAGAAAAGCCTCTTGATGTTGGTTTTTAGCCACGTTTTGCATAAAACTGGACGCAGGGAGACAAGTTTCTACCAATAACATGCTGTATTATGTTTTTTTTTAAAGAGCCCATGTTATGCTTTAAAATTTTCCTGTTCCTTTAGTGTTATACAGCTGCCTTTCCGTATATTTAAAAGTCTGCAAACTCCCCGCCAAAGGGAGTTAATCTCTCCTACAGAAAACACTGCTCCCTACCTGCCTCATTTGAAGTCCAGGCTTTTCTTCTGTTACGTATTTACATCATCATGTCACATGTTTGCAAAACACCTGCCTATAAGCGAGTTTGCTCCTCAAACAAAGAATAAGCAGCTTCCTCGCAGTTTTGCAGTTTCCCTGCTAGAGTTTCTTCTACCAGAGCTACATCCCATTATTTAGTGATCTGTCCAGCTGGGGTCTATTTCAAGAAGCAGATTCAACAAACTCTGAGTCTAATCCTGAACTTTGAGCTGATCTACTCTGAGATTGGAAACTCTGAGTTTCTGGTTCCAGAACAGCAGATTTGAGTTAGTTTAATCAACTAGGAGTAGTTTCACCTGGAGTTAAGCGCGTGCACCACAACTATAAAAAGCCAGCATCAATGGAGCCCCGATTCAAAGAATCACCATGGCAACGGGGAAGGAGGGCTGCATTTTTCACCACACTAGAACTGGAAATGTTAATGCGCTCATATGGCGACTTTGAAAGCGTTTTTAAAAAACAAGTGCAACCCCGTGCAGCCGCAGAAGAGAGGGAGACAGGGTGAAGTACATTGCTGCTGGGGTCAATGCGTAAGTTTAAATGTCCTTTATTCACAATAATATAACAGGAAAACTGCTTGAATGGCAGCCTATTAATTTATTTCATTAGAGGTGCAATCCCGCGGGGGAGAAGCCCGCTTGGCAGCAGCTCTAGATGAAACATAAAAACACTGTTCAAGTCTGAGGTTGCAGCACAATGTCATTAACAGAATATAATTTAAAATTAATTTAACAGATCTCTACATCATTCACCTGCATCCCGTGGAACTCCTCCTTGATGCCTCTGACAGGTTTATGTCCAGGGAAAACCACAAAGATGGTAAAAGCTGTTTCAGGGTGAGGCACACTTTTCTGACCGTCCTGCATATAGTTGCCTTACTCACACACATTTAACTTAAAAAAATAAAAATTTTTGCAATCTTACCTTTACTTATAAATGATGTCCATGCGCAGCTTCTTCTGGACAAAAATATCCATTATTTTTTTGTAAGCTGCTAAGTAGCTGTCACTTGCTCTGCAGTCGCGGAGTCACAAGAAGAATGTCTGGGGTCAGAGCGCCCCCTGCCATGAGGCCAGAGAACTGCCTGCCTCACCTAGAATCTCTTCTCAGCTGCTTTATGATCGCTCAGCACACGGAGCACGTTAAACACACTGTACATTATTATATACATCAGCTGAACTATGGAAAGTCAGTTCATATATTAAATGTGGGGCTGCAAGGTGGCGCAGTTGGTTTGCACTGTTGCCTCACAAGAAGGTTGCCGGTTCGCGTCCCGGTGGGGGCACCGGAATCTTTCTGCGTGGAGTTTGCATGTTCTCCCCGTGCAGCGTGGGTTCTCTCCAGGTTCTCCGGCTTCTGCCCACAAGGTCCAAAAACATGTTGAGGTTAATTGGTGATTCTAAATTGTCCATAAATTGTGCTTGGTTGTCTGTCTCTAAGTGTGGCCCTGCGATGGACTGGTGACCTGTCCAGGGTGACCCCTGCCTTTGCCCTAAGTCAGCTAGGTTTGGCTCCAGTCCCCCCGCGGCCCTAGTGAGGATTAAGCGGTGTATAGATAATGGATGGATGGATATTAAATGTGTTTGAACCGTTTTATTGGCGATATACAGACAGCAGCATGCTGTCACTGCATGGCAGCCAGCGCAGTTAGCGAGGGATTGCGCAATCCAAGGTGAAGCTCAGTTCGCCGCTGCCTCACCGGCTTCTCTTCCAAGCATTTGGATGGGAAATTGTGAAAATTCAGCAATTTTGAATAAAAAGTATCATCAAAATTGGTGAGGCTAAATGAAAAAAATAAATACTTTATAGTACAAATCACTGGATAAATATAACCATTTAAATTATTTTATAAGATTTTTTTTTCTTTCCCTGACCGCACGTCACTGACGGACTGTGACGTGAAATGGTACCGCTCAAAAAGAGAACTGTCTGGAAATGCTGGAACATCTATGCGAGGTCTGATAACCGTCTCCAGACGAATTTTTAATTCTCTTTGCAGTAATGCTGCACCTTCCTCCATGGGGGATCATTATCAAAAGGACATGCCATGTTAGTGGAAAAAGTCGCCTCCCTCTATGTCTAATGGAATTCCAATACAGCCTACTGACTTTTTTAAAATGATTTTTGAAAGACGGCACAAAGAGGCTACGCCAAAACTTGCTTGCTGACTGACTGAATGAATGAATGAATGAATGAATGAATGAATGAATGAATGAATGAATGAATGAATGAATGAATGAATGAGGAAATCAAATCGCATGTGGCCAAAAGAGGGCAGAGACAGAGGGAAACTTGAGGTTCACTGAGAAAAACCTGGTCCCGACCAGGTTAGGTTCATAGAGTCTGTTACTACGGTAACTGACAGAGGTCTTAAGTTACCTCTCTCTGTGAAACAGGCTACAGTTACCCCTCTGTCTCTGGTTCGAGCTACCTCCCTTTCTGAAATGGAAAACTCAGAGTTTCCTTCATTTCAGGGTTAACACTCAGAGTTTTCACTAAACCTGCTTCGTTAAACGGACCCCTGATCAATCAGGGCAGTCTGGGCTTTTCTGGAAGAAGGCCTTAAAGCGACAGCTGCTAAAACGATGCGTTTTAGACAGAGGCTGAGAAGAAGTGCCGTAGTAATATACTTTATGAGACAAATAATGTGTTATCTTGAACATGAAAGCATGCAATTATACTTAAGTAGACCCCAAAAGAGGATTCTGAACCTGTTAATGTGTATAATATGAGCTCTTTAAATCACACACAGGCAGAAACGCAGAAAAATGGAACATTTGTGAGTTAAAGTGGAGTTTTTTTCTTCTTCTTTTTTTCTGTTTTTGTTTTGTGTTGATCAATTAGTGAACTTTAGAGGTGCTGATAGTTATATTGGACAGATGCTTGCCAGCTGTTTCTCCCTGCTTTCAATCTTTATGCTAAGCTAAGCTAGCAGTTAACACACAGATGTGAAATTATGCTGCATCAACATGATATTGACAGAGCAGGAAGACCAGGGACACTCTACTTATTCTGACTTTGGACCATTTAAATATTAATCTATTATAAATTAGCTTTCTGTTGTTGTTACGTAGGCAGGCTGTAAACAAGTGACAACAGATACAAACAAAAAGTGTAAAGCTCCTTTTAAAGTTGCATAATTGATCATATTACTGGATTTTATTCAGCAATAACTACTTTGAGGCCATAATGCTCTAAGTGTCTGCCTTTAGACATTCTTTGTTGGAGGTAAATGCTGCTCATAATTACAATCTGAATGATTAATATAAACTTTCACTTTGCACTATTACAAAATAAGAAAATAAGCTAATTTCCTACTATATTGAACTTTTCCTTGAAGCACTTGTCCAAACAGACATGTTCTGTTCAGGCTTTTGAGCTAAACATAATTTCTTCAGAATAAATTACATATCAGCAAAGCTGCAGCCTTTTGACACCTCCAGCTGTCTTACTTAATGAAAAAAAAACATACAAATGCAGTATTAACTGACTTAGAAGTCTCAGTTTTTGAACTTCCTAAAGCACTTGAATGTAGCATTATAAAGCTAACAAATGAAAATGCTCTGAGGAAAATGTAGATGTAAATCGGTGAAGAATTCTGATCTACTGTCGACAGCTGACCAGTTTCCAGCCAAAATCAAGATATCCTGCTAAATGAAAAACAATGCATATGGAGGTAAAAACAAATGGATCTGACTATGTGTAACAACCAAACAGACACTGCAAATACAGAAACAGTACAGTCTTAATGATAAACGCATTGTACCGAAGCCTTTTCTGCGGGAAAGACAAAAGCTGTTAAAGGAATTTGTCCGATTTTTGGTGTTTTCCTGATCATGTATGTAGCTAAGACACTACTTTTTAAATTGTGTTCCAATAAGAAATGTGTCTGTATTTCAGACCATTTCCTACCTTCCATTGACAGCGTGCACTGTAATGTGTGTGACTGATGAGTCTGAGTGTAGGCTTTCAACAGTTTTGTACACCCTCCACACAAATGGAATCTCTGTGTCACATGTTTAGTTTGTAAAGCAACAGAAGTTCCTTCATCGGACGTCTGCACTTCACTTTCATGGCTGGGCTGCAAAGACTCATATTTACTGGCTGCAGGACTGCACAGATGACACTGTGGCTTTGATTTTGGTTGAATTATAGCAAAAATATATCTATATAGATAAAAAGGATTGTTATGAACTGTTCTCAAAAGTAAAGACATATAATGTATAATGACTGCATTTCAAAACTTTGTGGTTCTACTTGCCCAGTTTCTTTTTACACAATGCAATCATGTAATGTTTTAACACAAACTACTTAAAAAGAGGATAAAGTGTCCGACTGTATTAATGTGTTCTATAAATGTTATATTTTTATTGCATTGTTGATAACCCTGCTAACGTGTTTGCTCACACAAGTGGCTCCTTTTTTCTTGAAAAAAAAAATAAGAAAGAAAATACTGGTAAAAGTGTAATTTCATTTCAGTTAATCCTAGGTGGGGATGGGGGTTTGATGGTGTTTGACATTTCCTTAAATGATATTTATTTAATAATCCAAATTGAACAGTAAGCATCTTTTAGACATTAAAAGATGTTGCATTTAATTTACAAAAGCCTTGAATAATTGATCTTTCCTGTATTCATGTTCTGTATATAATGTGTTTTGAATCTAAATGTAAGTTTCAGGGCGCAACATCAGACCTTTAGCAAACATGGTCACTGCTGGTGGTTATAAGAGTGAAGAAGCTTATCAGCATCTGGTTGGTGAGTATCAGTTTTAACACAAACTTTAATTTGATTAACTTAATCATTTTAAATGGGTATTCATGCCACTTGTCCATGTCCAGTTTGCATCAATGTGATTAATTAGATCATGAGGAATTATGGGTGCCCCTATAGCTCACCTAGTTGGGCGGGCAAACCATGAACAAGGGCTGTTGTCCCTGACGCAGAGGTTGTGGGTTCGAGTCCAGCTCACAACCCTTTGCTGCAGGTCTTCTTCCCCCTTTCCTGTCTCACTCTTTCACTATCCTGACTAATAAAGGCAAAAAGGCCAGAAAAAAATATTTTAAAAAAGATCATTAGGAGTTATAATTCATTATTCAGGCACTCTAGCATTTTTTGAAAGTACGTCTCAGCAGTTTTTATATTACAAATACAATAAATCAGATTTTCATACTATGATCAATATTAACTTGAAACATTTATTAAACTGCATTATGTCACATTAATAAGATCTTAGAAAATTAAATGCAACTTTTCATCTTAAGAGCCAAGTCTTGATTGTTTTTGCGTTGGGATATTTCAAGGCTTTATATGCTATAATTGATTGCTTGGTTGTAGAAAGTCTTCTCCAGCACGATATTTAACAAACACTTATAAATCTGCAATTTAAGTCATTAACAAGGCGTGCCATGTTTCTTACTTTATGTCGATTATAGGCGGTTATAAATGTTAGTAAACCATGAGTTAAAGGTAATGGGCTTTATAGTTTTTAGTAAGTCATTGTCTGAAGTAGAAATTATAGATCAACTGTTGTAAAATAATCTATGAAAGTTAGTAGGTCTGTTTAATTGATTTAAAAAAGGTAATAAAAGCACCAAATGCTGAAGGAGGATTTTCCAAAACCTGAAAACCAAAAAGTTATTATTCACTGTATATAGTTTACTATTAGAGCACTGCTAAAGCATTTATCAGTTCATGGAAATGCAACACTAAGTCACTGGATTACAACCTTTAAAATGATTCACCCAAACTTAGAATATGTTGTAAAATAATTAATAATAAATAACACTTTTGGAAATCCAAAGGCAGTTGGTGTGTATAGTGTATGGATAATGGATAGATGGATATAAGTGACTGGTATTGATTATAGTTGTTTTGGGTTTATAGGTAGCCCTTCATGTCTTTACCAGTTGCACTCAAAGAAAAATGCAGTTCAGAAAAATGCAGTTGAGGATATTTCAAAGCAGATTTAACTTGTGTAGAGGCAGGTGGAAACATTGGTGCAGGAATAGGTTACGTCAACAACTGTCTCATTTAAAGCTCTATAGCAGATTTAGAGTTGACGTTTCCATGGAAGTTGTCAGATACCACACCGTAGTGGAGGCAGAGGGGTTGAAATGGCTGATGAGACAACATTTCAGTAAACATTAATTCTACCTTGCCCATGTCCCACGTTTCTTCATGTCAGAGTGATGCTGGAAGATCCTGGGTGGGTTCTAATCTACTGGTTGGCTGAAGCATTTTAATGTTTAGTTTGCGTGCTATCCCTGTTCCTTTGAGGGTTTTCCTCCCGCAGTCCAAATCCATGCATGATAAGTTAATTTGTGATTCGAAATTTGCTGTAAGTGTGCATGGATGTCTGTTTCTCTGCAATGGACCTGTCAATAGTGTTCCCAGCCTTTCACCCAGTGTTGCCTGGGATAGACTCCAGCCCCCTGCGACCCCCCATAGGATAAGCAGGGATAGATGGTTAAGCCAATCAGTAGATGGACTGTTTAAATCTGGTATCTGTGGCGACATTCCCACAATGGTTGCGATAGGTAGCGATAATTGAAGGCCAGAGCTGAAGAATCATATATTTTTTCTTTTGTTATGCACTGCAGCAGCCCTTATTAAATACAAACTGTTACATGCAGACATCTGGGACATACTGCTTCGTCACCACATTCATCTTTGGCCATGTATCTGCTGCAGTCTGTTGTGCAAAACGAACTTGTCTATACTTGCATGAGACACCATGACACATGTGACATATCTTCCATTTTACAGAGGAAGCATGCTGGCTTGTATACTGCAGAATGCATCTAAGAACATCCTGGTATGTTTGACATACAGGTCTAATTGACCTACTACTATTTATTTCTGGGACACTACATAGTACTATGGATATTTGAAAGCACCCTACAAGTATTTTAAAGCTTATAGAGTAAAAAAAAAAACAACAAGCAACTGTCCAAGATAGAAAAGCAACTCTGTGTTCAGAGGAAGGAATACAGCCGAAGAAAAAAAAAGAAAAGGATTTGACAGCAATGACATAAGACCTTATCAAAAGAGCTAATGTAATTACTCTCAGAATAACAGCAGTGCAGGTTTAATCTGAGTACCAATATTAATACACATTGAAAATATGTCGTAATTATTTATAATTTTTTGTCAGATGCTGCTGTACAAAGCACCGTCAAGCTGTAGAAGCCCGAGTATATATAGACTGCACATAAGCTCTCTGCAAGAATGCAATGACTTCTTCAGTCACTCTTGTCTGAGTGCCCATCCACTTTCTGTGTGTTGTTTTCTTGGAGCTTGTGGTTCTCCTTCCACTTCCTATACTTGGCCCTGCTCTTCTTGTAGCCAAATCTGGCTATGTCCACCATGAACACCCACGCTAGTCCGTACATCGCCACGCCGCCAAGTTTCATTATCAGCGAGGTCCTGGGAGAGGTGAGCTCGCAGTAAAACATCACCGTGCCGACTCCCACTCGCACGGTGGCGAACAGTACAATGAAAAGCAGGTCTACGGCATCACCCAGCAGGCTGTCGTACAGGCCGAGCTGCCGCAGGAACCAGCGGGTCTGCAGCAGGGGGTTGGTGAGCTCGCTGCCGAAGATCACCCCACAGGTTTCGCAGCCCGACTCTCCCATGAACAGCGCTAGCAGGATGCCTGTGATGCTGGCAGCGTGGTGCGCCATCATGACGGGGCCCTCGGTGCGGTAGCAAACACACCAGCTGATGTCGAAGAAGAAGTAGCCGAGGCAGACAGCTAGGGCGAAGGTCTGCATCTCAGTATTTTTGGTACCTGGGAAACAGATAGCGACAGGGACACACAAGCACAAAACTGAATTCTAATGATTTATCACGAATGAAAAAGACACATTATAACTATTTAATGTCAATATTAATACATTTTTGGCCAAATGAGGTACAAGAGCAAGATGGAACCCAACACTGACCACATTTAAGTCTGAAAAGTGAATTCATGTTCAAGATATGTATTGACATCAACAAAATTAACTGCAGGTATCTAAAAAGGACAATGTAGACACCTGGGACTGATGATAATTAAAGATATTTTCCTGCAGGTATCTACAGTTTAGACTTATTTGTAGATATGAAGGACACTGTGAATATTTGAAATGTTCTTTTTGACAATAAATATCCAGTCCAGCTAAAGTGTCCTGCCGTTTTCACTGCCAAGATGGCGACGGCTGGAGCCACCACACCAAGCTTCAAACCTACTCTTTAGGAAACCTCAGTGTTACCGAGGGTTTGTCCATTTTTATGTACAGTCTATGAGTACAGCCTGATAAGGGGTTATTCCACCTGAACAGCTCTGAATCTTTATGTGATATGTGAAGACTTCTAATTAGTTTATTGCACCTTGCAAGCTCTATTCCAAATGTATTTTTAGCCCTGAATCTTTAAAGTTTGTGGATTTTTTCTGAGTCTCACCAGTTGCTCATTTTTCACTGGACTGGACTGAAACTTCCACTGAACATCCAATGTTTTTTAACTTAAAGTGGCGGAAAACTATGTCTTTACTCTCTCAAGCTAAATATCAGCAATACACTTGATTTGTTCATTACATTCATTCACTCTTTGACTCACTGATGGATTAGCGTCTATTAACTGAGTAGATGGCTAAATAAATGTAGACAGTAAACAGTGGTGCTCGTCACTGTTCTCGACTTTATTACCAGCCACACTGGTTTTTTCCTAGACTTATTATTTATTCCAACTGGTGGTCATTTATGTGTATTTATTAGTAACAGGCCTGTGTAACTGGTCATGTTCAACCCTCAGGGAGCAGAGCAGACCGCTAACGTTAGCACCAGTCTTTATCGTCTCTGTCCCACCGACCTGCATGAGTGAAGGGCCAGGGTCCGTCCACAAACACCACGTACGCCGTCAGCAGCACTATGAGGATGCCGTGGGACAATGTGACCAGGCGGCAGTTCCACTCGGGCCCCCTCTGAGCGAAGGTGCAGCAGAACAACAGGTAGAGACACAACCAGCCAATTAGGCTGCAGGCCACCTCGAGCACCGGCATCGCTGTCTGTGTGAGAGGAAGAAACTAATTTCACCACCATAGATCGAGCTGACTTCATCAGGCATCAGCTCTCACACAACATATTTCAATATTATCACTGTATTGAGGAGCATGTGTGTAGGTTTTGTTTGAAACTCTTCATTTCCTGCACTCTGGTGAATTCTTTGCACCAAGTAGTGCCTTTTCTGCATCAATATATATTAGTAATTTCTTTATTTAGGTAAAGGAAAACATAGACTTCAATCCCTAGGTGACAATTCAAAATATAATGGAACATAATGCAGTGAGGTTCCAGTCACTATGTGCTGCTGTCAGATATTTGTTCTAATGTAGGTCAACCTTTTCTTTTTTAATATTATAGACACATAGAGATTCACTGTTTTGTCCTTTCTTTGTGTCTTTTGTTTGGCAAAGTAACTTTTTAAATGTGCAAATTTTCACAGCATTTTATTTTAATAATTAATATGTGTTTCAGAGAGGTTTCTGTTTATATTTAAAACTTTCTGCACATTCAAAACCTTTCACACATATCTGTGTTTTAGAGTCATTTTTTAGGGATCTTGCAATTCAACTATGTTACAGAAGCCGATGGAAAACAAGAATACAACACATCTTAGCCGTGACATTGTTTAAAATCATCATTAGAGGATCATACAAAATATTCAGTGATTGTAGGAGTTCATAATTCATATTTAGGGGATGAAAAAAAGTCTCGCCCCACTTTCAGGCATTATTGTGTCTATAAGTAATGTCACAGCAGTTTCTCACGCTAGAAATATTTTCCTTTTTTTCATGTTTTCATTGATGGTGGGGGGGCAAATATGTGCATCTTCTAAATGTTGAGTTGGACACCTACATCCCTCCTGAGGCAGCTATGCAGTTTTTTAAACTAGGTAATGTTATCATCACTTGTATGAGTATAATTTCACCATATGCTACACTGGGTTAACCTCACCCAGTATCAGGGGGCTATTCTGAGGCGGTGTAGTGTTATTTTTTATCTTGCAGTTGGGTTTTTTGCGCAAAGTAGCACATGCGTATTTGCCACAATACCATTTTAAGTTTCGCCTTAAAGCTGTCACACATTTATTGATAAAACAACATGAATATGAGACTCAAAACTGCTTTGTAAGCAGATGTGACCATTCGTTGAGAGCCACGATTTCTCTTGTGGGCACCCAGAAGTGGAGGCTGGTATGCAAACAGATAACTCAGGGCAGGGCTGGAGCCTATCCCAGTTGACTTAGGGCGAAGGCAGGGGATACCCTGGACAGGTCACCAGCCTATCACAGGGCTACACTTAGTGACAGACAACCAAGCACACTCACATTCACACCTACGGACAATGTAGAATCACCAATTAACCTCAACATGTTTTTGGACCTTGTGGAAGGAAGCTGGAGAACCTGGAGAGAACCACACTGCACGGGGAGAACATGCAAACTCCACACAGAAAGATCCCGGTGTACCCACCGGGACGCGAACCGGCGACCTTCTTGCTGCGAGGCAACAGTGCTACCAACTGCGCCACCTTGCAGCCCACGCTAATATTATTGGCCCAAAAGTGTGTGTCATTAATACAAAAGGTAGCTGTCCTATGTGGAAGCTCTCGGTCGGCGGCTCACCTGAACTCCTCCTCCTCTCAGTCGTCCTCAAACTCAGGATACATGAGAAACTACTCCGTCAGTCACAGGACACCTCCATCACTGTTTCTGTGCCATAAAGACTCCCCAAAGTGCAAACAAATCAGCACATCTCCAGCACGCTCACTCTGCCAACATGACCGAAACGCCATGTGCTGGCCACAGTGGACGTTAGTGGATCCTGAATCCCTCCCCCCTGCGTCTCAGACCTGATCCTCTTAAAGGATTACAGTCTCAACTTCTCTGCAGATACCTGCTTTTAGACGGGACGAGCAATACAGGCCTGCAGACCTGCAGCTGCATCACAATGAAGCAACACAAAGATGAAGTCTGTTCCTGTAACAACCACTCTGGATGCCTGCTGGTTTCAGAATCCTGTTGTGTTGCAAGACTTTTAACTCCGCTTAGATTCAACAACAATAAATCTTTTATTGGTAGAATTATTGTTTATATCCCCCTTTTAAGATGGAGATTTTCCTCCAAGTAATTTGTTTCACTGTTTAGTAAAAATTCAACACATTTCTGCTTTGACTGTGATTTACCAGTTCTGCTACATTTTGCACATTTTCAGTTTCATAAACCTGTTGTTATAGTAACGATCTCAGCTGTTTGGGATGCGGTGTGTGGTGATGTGCATAAACTGAGGATCTGCTGAGCTACTTCTTTAAGGCTTTTCAAAGATGCTAAGAGAAGAAAAAACTGTAAATCTGCTTATTATGTTTCTATAATGGACAACGACGGCCAAAGGCATTGTGTTTTTGTGCCAGTAGGACCATCCATCTCAATCTTGGGAATGTGAAATTTCTTTAAATTTGGCACAAATGCTCAACTAAACTGATTAGCTTTTTGAGCTGTGGTCGCATTTTTTTCTGGTCATTTTCGGTCTTTTTGTTGACTTTTTCATCTTGTTGCGATTGCTTCTCTTTTCAGTCGGTTCTGTTGGGGTCAGTGTGACCTCATTAAATACATTTTAGGCCATGACGTAAGAATTCATTCACTAATTCTGATCCAATATCATACAAATGTCTCATAAGATAAAATAATGAGGTAGTCAAATTGTTATATGTAAAGGGTCAAAGGTTAAAGTCTGGACAGACATGGAACCAGGAGGCAATAATTCTAGTGTTTCATACAAACTGTTAATATGCAGTTATGACGGTCAGTTTTTTAACTATGTTTAAATATTTGTGTCACTGAAATTTTTTTTAACTGTTCTGTCAGGATAAAACAGAAGTCCTGATCTTTGGTTTGGAGGTTCAGAGAGAGAAACTGATCTCCAAACTCCACCTGCTTGTGTACAGGGCGTCACCAAAACAGCATTGCATTATTTTCAAAAACATTTTTATGTGTTTGAGTAACACAGATTCTTTAAAGATTCCAAAAGTGTACATGCATAGTATAAAACTAATAAAAGTGAAAAACAGGAATGTACACAGTGAGGTGCTTCAAGCTGGAAATAACATATTAGAACTGTGAAAAAACTCAGTCCAAACAAAGCAACCATTTTAAGAACTATTTGCAAAATATAAGGGGTATCTTGTTTTAAGAATGGCTATGAGTGAATCTGGTTTCCAACACAAAAAACAGTGACAGATGCTTTTCCAATAGTTTACAGCATGACCAGAAAGACTGCATTAAAATTATTGTAAAGGTAAATATAATTACACAAAAAATATATTTTTCTTGCTAATCTATTTTTTAAAATCAGTTATTTAATTTATTTTAACTTACTTACCTTGTTTTATTTTTGAAATTTTACCTGCATCTTAGTCACCTTAGTCTATTCTTATCGTTTTGTGTGTTTGTCGATCACTTGCAAATCACTTTGACTTGGATTCAACTTTAGTGAATAATAAGAATACAAAGAACTTTTGTAATATCTGATGGGAAGTTCTGAAAAGGTATGAAATAAATACATATTTGATTGTTTGACTGAGCAGAGAGAGTCCTGTTCTGGTGCAGGTTGTGATTTTTAGAGACTAAATTGAGAGGACGATGACGGTTTCGTGGCGGCAGACTGACATGTGCGACACCTCAGGATCAGCAGCCAAAATCTGTGATGTAATGAGCAGATTATTCCCTGTAAACAAACAGCAGACCTCCAGTTTCGTATGCAGGCTATTATGAACTCCACATTGTTCTGAAGCCTAATACTGAATTCTAACAATTATGTTGCCATGCAAAATGACAAATTTCCAATAGACATTTAGGAAGATTCGCTGATATAACATCAATGGCTGTAACTTGAACATTAAACTGCAGTCAAGCTGTCAAAACTCTCCAGGAGACGAGTTTGTCTCCTGCAGACACTGCAACATTCACCATCTGAAACCGTTTCTGTCATTCTGAACCCTACATACAACTACATTAGTGCTACTCCCCTTGGTGCAAACAATCAACAGCAAGATAAATGTGGAAAAAATACCTATATGCAAGACAAAATAAAGAGCTGACTGCAGAGATGAGACTCTAGAAGTAACATTAGATTCATGCAAAGTTCCTCAGGTTCAACTGTAATAATGCACCAGAGTGTAAATTATGATCAGCCACAAGCGTACCCGGCTAACTGACATGTATTCAGTCAAATATTTATCAACAAACAGCAAAGACATTACGTTAGCGTCTTAGCTGCTAATCTTAGCAGCGAAGATGTTACCTTAGCATCTTAGCTGCTAACATTAGCAGCCAAGACGTTAGTCTTTGCGAACGTCGAAGATGACGGCAGAGAAACTGCATTGACGCTTGTGGTTAAATATTTGCCTGACTACATGTCAGTTAGCCAGGGAGTGTTGCCCCCCCCCCCCCCCCATACGCTGTATGGAAGCAAATCAGGCTCATCTGATTTTGAATTTTAAATGCTGTTGAATTTCTAACTTTGAGTTTTGTTGCCATCGAAATTGTGTATGTGAATTATTTTGTCTGAATTTAGGCCATCTAAATTTCAGTAAGTCAAAATTCAGGTGTAAAAATTCGAAGCCATGAAAATTCGATGGCGCTCAAATTCGACAGGTTCAAAATTCGCTGTGAAAAATTCACTTTTCACATCGGGGACTTAGACATAAACAATTGATTCTGGCCGAAGTCGATCCAATGCCCAGCCAATCAAACTACGCTCCTCTGGTCATGTGACGCGCACGGTTGATCACAGAGGACGAAGGTCATTAGCCATGGTGGCAACCAGTGGTAACGGCGGTGCTTCAGTGACTATGTTAACCCTTTATTTGCCTTTTGTGTCATTTGTTTTTTGAGAGTCAGTAACTGGTAATGCAGGACACGTTTCTTGTTGGATAATATCCCTGAGGAACTTTTAACGATTTGCACTGGTTGCAGTTTAGCTAGCACGGCTAAAGTTGTGCC